GGTGGGAGAGAAAGAGTCTTGATTGAAAGGGTAATCAAAGTGAGACACAGAGCCAGATAGAAAGGAAGCTGCAGACGAAACACTTTTTCCACGATAAAAACAACGTTCGCAAAACTTCTAATTCGAGGTAGCACCACTGAGCTCTGAATGAAAACAAATCCTGAATTTGTATTACTATATGTTCAACCGCCAAAAAAATCGAGAAAATATCACATTAGATAATTCTTTCCTCCTTTGGACAAAACGTAATTATAACTTTTAAACCCTGCAAAGCGAATAGTGAGCACAAGATTTTTAACAATAAATTTAGCTAAAAATATTATGAATACAAACAGAAGGCAAAGAAGCAGAGAGAGAGAGGGGGGGACACTTTAAATGTATTAACTCATTTGTTTAAAATTTGTCTGTCTTCATCTAGCCTCTCGTGGCCTTGAGCCGATGTTATAATCATTTCATGACCTGGTTATATGGCGGTTAAACGTCGAGGAGAAAAACAAGCTCTCACCACATGACATTATTAGGGTTTAGTCCTTCTCACCTTTTTTAGGTAGACTTTACCAGTCTCAAGGTTAGCTTACATAATCAGAGCTTGTGACTACTTATGAGAGTGGCCCAAAAGGGCTGGAGAGAGTATTTGCGTGGCAATGAAACAGTTTCGAGTTCTGTGCACACTGCTCAAATCTATATAATCTCATTTTTTGGCCAATGTCTAAGGGTCTACGGGTGAATTTGACGGCCACAATATTACCAAACATGTCCCCGTCGTTTTATGCAAGAAAAATTCTGAAATTGTGCACACTGAGCCCAAAAATGTGAAATTATACGATTTTGTTCATTTTAACAAAGAATGAAAAAGGAAAATAATCAGAAATTATGCAAAAAATGATCAAATTTTGCTAAATTATGCGTGGTGCATAAAACCATGGGGTCAGCCAAACTACGTGAGGGAAGCAATGACTATTTGGTTGCCTTTAAGCACAATGGAGCTATCCCGAAACATGCTGTTTTGAGAAAATCGAAGGTAAAGTTTTTGCACCTTGTTCAGTTTCTTTAAAAAAAAAGAGCTCTCTATAACCAAACAAATGTACACAGCAATGAAACCAAACTTATCAGATAGGTAGGCCAATGCCCACCTTTGGTGTAGGTCAAGATTTCTGGAAACCCCTGAAATCTGGGTTAGCCCGCTTGTCCTTAAAAGCGACCATTTGATTATGAAGAAGCTTCGCCCCTGCATGTGATTGTCTTGTAAAGGTTGCCGTTAGAGCAGGTTCGACTGTATTCCTTTTTTCTTCTCTGTATTCCCTCAGACTCTGGAGAGAGGTAACTGGGGCGGGAAGCTGGACTTCCTCCTCTCCGCTGTCGGTTACGCTGTAGGTCTGGGTAATGTCTGGCGATTCCCTTATCTGGCCTACAGAAATGGAGGAGGTGAGTGGCCGCTTGTTGGTTTGTTTGTTTGTCTTTCTGATTGTTTTATTTGTTTGTTTGTTTGTTTGCTTAATTATGTTTTTGAATACACCCCCTCTCCTCTTCTCTCTCTCTCTCTCTTTCTCTCTCTCTC